TACGAATTGGCCGAAAACGTTTGGAATAAACAAAAATAACTCGGCAAAAAATTCAGGTGTGTGTGATTTATTATTATAAATATACAATAATAATAGAGAAGTTATACTCATAAATAACTTCTCTAATATATAAGTTATACTCATATATTTCTCTAATAATATAAGTTATACTCATAAATAACTTCTTCATAATAAAGAAGCTATACTCATAAATCACATACAAAAGCAATATTAAAAAAATAATAATATAATTAAAATAAAATTCTTAATTTTATCAGAAACCATCAAATTTAATTTTCAAACACAAAGAATATATAGAATTGAATTTATTAAAAATTCAATTAATTTAGTCTTTGTCTTTGGCCTTATTAAAAGGCCAATTCAAGAATTTTATCTGTTGCAGTAAACTGGAATGTATTGATAGGAAAACATTATCGCAAATGATTAAATACTAAGGAACAATTAAAGTTTCTGTTAAACACAAAGTATTATTATATTCCAAGCTTTGTGCAATTAGCAACAGAGTTTATATTATTTATTATGCAAAGAAATAAATATAATATATACTATAAATATGTATACTTTATAGTCGCAACAGAGTGGTCAATACACAAAGGCTTCTGTAATTGCAATAAAGTTATATGTGCATAACAGGATTTTCTAATCAGAATTACATTAAGAATATAAAATTATCCAAAATTGGTGCTTTGTGCTATAGCCTAAAATAATCGTTACGTATATTTCATCAAAGACAGGAAAGTTTACTAGTCATAACACACAATCCCTTAATAAAAAATACGTTAAAAGTAAACCTTGTCCCAGTGAGCTAAAAAATGGATATTAGTCAACAATGAGTAAGAGTGTGGCAAACAAGTTATTCGGGTTTCTTTTGGATATTTTGTTGCTTAATTTTCTTTGGACGGTTTCCATTCCATAATTATCAATACTTAAACTGGAATTATCATATAACGAATTTAACATTTAATTAATATAAATGCTACATAATTGAAAAATCAAGCACGCATTAATAACATCTTAATTAATTGATTTGCAATTTGTGTGTTCATTTGAAGAGTTGTTTCAATATATACCTATCCATTTCTCATTTAAACAAACAGAAATTATCCAATGACTGTTAAACTTCAATAACGATAATTATCAATTGCGAATATTGCACAGCTTTTACTTCCTATTAAGATGTAAAGGATCTTTACACAAGCAGAAAATGAAATTTGGTATATAATTATGTAGCACACTCCCATATTCTTATGAATTAATTAAAAAAAAAAGAAAAATTTTTCTTCAGTATTATTATTCTTAAAAGGAAATTGGAATAAAAACAAGTAAGAATAATAATTAGTAGTGAGAACTTTTATAGCTTTTATGCAATTTCTTTAACTATGTCAAACCAAATTATATTAATCATAGCCGCTGAAGCATAACTTGTTTCTGATCACCAAACAAAGTACATATTTGTAAAAATTGAATATCTAGAATAATTAAGATTTTGTCAATAGTCAAATACTACAACTCAACATTTAATATTCAATACTTGTTACACGATCTCTTTTCATATATTTTTACTTATAAAATTATTTTCAATTTAATTTGTCATAGGTAAAATTAATTTCCTTATTTAATATTAACAGAGAATGAGTCATATATATTTTAAGGATATCCAATTAAATTAATCACAGGAGGATTTAACAATGCGATGTCAATAAACTTCCAACTTATTTTGTTATTGTCTAGCATTCACCTTTGGTGCCAAACGTAATTATACTGTAACTACTAATTTTTTAACACCCTTTCCATTCACTGAACACCAAAAACTTTTGTTATGTACTGTACTTTTAAACAACGCAACAATTTGGGACAGGTAAAAAATGTGAAAAGAATGAATTTAAAATTCACAAAGAGCATTTGAAACAAATTGTTTTGTTATCCATCATTTTTAAATCTTAATAAAGTTTATTTATTTATTCTTCTTATATATTTATACTAACAAGGATAAAAACTAAAGAAAATTTCACAATGTTAAAAGTATTTAATAAATAACTTTTACAATTTCCTTTTAGATTGCATATTATATCCAAAAGACATAAGTATAAATTTGTATTAAATTCATTTATTTACCATCTTGTCATATAGATCTAAGCTATGTAAATACTAATTTAATAGTTTCCATATCATTCGACTATTTACAATAAAATTTAAATACTTCAAAAATTAAAAAGATCCTGGAAAAATAACTAACGAAACATTACAACAGGGAGTCCGGACAAGAACTGGAGTGTGAAAGGCAAACAGAGCGCACCTATTCCACACTCTAGTATTTTTCGACATCATTCAAATTTTCCGGAGCAACGGCATCAACATCCCTCCTCTGTCCCATTTTGTCTATCCCAAATTCAGTCCATCGATTCCGTAAACGATTGCAATCGACGACTTTTTAGAGGAAACTAAAAAACTAATACTTTACAAATGCGTAGAATTCGTCGATAAATATCAAAATTCAAATATTACCATTAACCAATTATGAAACAAAACAATTAATTAATACTAACTTAAAAAAGTAAATAAAATTAAGATTTTTATTAAAAATTCCTTCAATGCTAAACAGATCATACTTAATGACGTTTCACATTACTTCTTAAATTGTCAAGAGAGAAAAATTCTACTTTAGGATCAAACACAGTCGAACCAGTCTATCTCAAATCTCACAGGAACAAGAAAAAAATTAGACAGGTTTCTAGCTATAGAGGCTCCTACATGATAAACAGTGACAGGTTTGATTGGAGGTATTTTATTAATACAATAGCAAGTACAGTACATACTTGTATTAGGTATAAATAAAACACTGTTGACATATCTTAACAGAAATAGTTTGTCAACAGTTTCTAATGCCCAACTTTGACCGGTAAGACACAAGCTTAACTCGTAGCCTTAGCCCACCAGCGACCGAGAGGATAAAATCTCCAAACACCGGTAGTCGATTGGTTGTGGTTTTGCAGAAAAGAAGCCAGCCACGTGATGTTTTCTGGATTTTCTTCGCATTCATAATATCTACAGAGAAACTAGTTTTCTACCGAAAGTCCTTCCAGAAGACATCTCCCCTTGACAGATCGCCACACGTCACATCAGCATAAAGAAATAAACAAAGCCAAACTCGTAACCAACAAAAGAAAAGCGGTATTAATTGCAAATACTACTGTATCCCAAAAGATACTTCTCAACCACAATTCCTACTATCAAAACACAATCACCCAGCTACAAAACTGTTATCAACATTTCAATCCGTAATTCAAGACAGAGGTTTTGGAAGAAAATTATTCAAGATAAACATGAAAAATATTTTGAATTTAGGCAGAAAACAGGAGAAAAAATAAATATCAAGATAAATAGGTTTTCAAGACAAACACATTCATGAAGGATAAGTTCGACCACAATTAAAAACGTAATTTCAAATACATTAGAGAGGTTGAGGCGCACGTTTTAAACGTGTACGTTTGACGTTCGGCGCCGCTTTCCCGTAAGCCTAAAAGTTTGACAATGGTGTTTGGATAGTCGGTGGAATCACGCTCGACATTCCAAACACCATCGTCAAACTTTTAGGCTTACGGGAAAGCGGCGCCAAACGTCACACGTACACGTTTACACGTTTAAAACGTGCGCCTCAACCTCTCTAATAATACATTTTATTATTTGAACTTCTAAAATTTCCAAATACGGAGGAAAAAAATTTTAAAAACTCAACCAAATCTCAACTGTTAAAAATTTTTTTACTTAACATTTGTATAGACAGACGCAACCGTATTCGACGGGACAAACCTTTATATTACCGCTTGTTTCTGTATTTTTATCGACATCATCCTAACGCATTCCACTTTTCTCTGCGCCAACTTTAAAACAGAGTCGGGACCGAAATGCGTCGGCAACAGTCAGAAGAGCACGGCGAAAGCATCGGGAAGAAACGGGCAAATCAAAAGACGCCAAAGCATCCGACGGAGACCAGACCCGAGCCGCGCATCGGATTCGAAACCACGACGAGAAGGCAAGCGACCGGCAGAGCGCAGGAGTCCTCCGTCGCCCGAGACGTCGGATCCAAAGGCAGAATACAAAATCGGGTCGGCCGCCGCCTTCGGCGCTCGAACTCGCAGGCTTCCTCGGCGGGTGGTAAAGCTAACATTAGAAATTAAAAAATTAATTCAAATGCCAGCATTTCAATTATTGAACTAAGCCCGAAAGAAGCCCGGGAGACAAACTGGAAACGTGTAATAATTTACACCGCTCGGACGGACGGACACTCAAACGTCCGAGGCCAAAAATGCGGGCCAAGCCGTCCGGCCCGGATCAATAAAAGCCGCGGGTTCGAAGCCACCCCCACCCAACGAAACGGAGGAGTCTTCGGCAAAAAAAGCATTATTCTTTTTAAATAACTTAAACGAATGAGTAATTCGGTGGTTAATTGGAGTGGATTCACGGTCGGAAGCGCAGACGTTCCCCCGATAATGGTAACGGGGCGACCGAATGGGTGCACGTGCACCAATCAGCAAATGACAGACGGTCGCGGCGGCCACCACACTCCGCAATAGGAAAATCGGGCGAAGAATATTTCCCTAAAAATCACGGTCGGATCGACGTATTGTCGAACGATTAACCATCGGATCGGAAGGGTTTTCTTAGAGTAAACGACAACGAAGGAGGGCGGAGGGCGTCCATAATGCAGTTTAAATATCGATCGCGTGGGGGGGGGGGAAAGAGAGGCGCAGGTAGATTTCCGTCGTTCCTTAACCGGTCGACTCGGCCGTTTTCCAGCCATTTGCCGAAGAATAAAGTCGTAGTTTAGGCGGAAACAACCGCATCCGACCTGGAAACGGAGCGTAACCGGGTGAAGTCGGGACGGGGGGGTGATCGCTCGGCGCAATTTTAAAGAATTCGGCTCGATCCCTTCCCAAAAAACAAATGTTAAAAGACGAAAAATTCGTGGCTCCACTCACCGAGATGTTGACGCAATCCTCGGAGTTTGGAGGGAATTTAATGATGAATTTGCTTCCAGCTTTCTCTTCGGCATCGTTCAGCGGTCGGAACCGACACACCACTTTGATGTTGCACTCGTTGGGGTTCTCCTGCATTTTGACGACGTTTTAAAAACACCCGAGTTCGATTTGATGGGGGACTCTTCAACGGTCGAGTTCGAATTTGCGTAGAAATCGAAGGAAACGCGGATCAATTGTCACCCTGGCTTCTTCCATAACCGTCCTCGACGGCTCCGCACCGCGTCTTATCCGATTCGGCCTTCGATCTTTTTGTCTTTCGGGTTTTCGAAATGACGCCTACGTTGGCTTTCGCACCTATCCAAGAAATCTCGTCTATCTCCGCTGTACTTCGAATGAAGATCCGAGTCAACCCACGACAGAAGCGGCCATCTTGAATCCCAATGGACGATGGGAATTTTTTCCGCCTGACGTCATTCGCCGTACGGGTGAATTTACCCGTAAAATCCCTTTTCGGGAAAATTTTCCTCTACCGTAGGGAAAATTCGGAAAAACGAAAATTTCGAAATTTCTAATTTCCTTCGCTCGTCCGGGATTTATCGATTTGCCGAATCGAAATTATTTCTTATGCCGTTTGTATTTAAATAAAACGGTGCGAAATTTTGTGAAAGTTATTTCAAAATCGATCCGATTAATTCCGCAGTTGGCGACGTCGCCACCGATATTTTTATCTGGGATCTTTACGATAAGACGACGCTTCGAAATCCCTACGTTTAGCGTTTTATCCCCATTTCGTGTGATTCATAAAAATTTTCGTGCCGTTTGATACGGGTGAACGATAAAAATCCCGGAAGGTTTATTTATGTCGATTTTGACTTCGCCTATTACTCATTATTCACGCTTCGAAGTTTACGAACGTGTCGTAACTCGAGTCGCGATCTTTCCAGTTCGACTTTTTTAGTAGAAGAACGACAGTTTGCACGTCCGACCCAATGACGCGTATAAAAAAATATATATATATATCAATTTTCGTCGTCTAAATTTACGAAAAGGAGGATTTAAATCCTACGGTATGCGCGTTTACGCCCTCTATTCATAATTGCGACGTCATTAAATTAAAGACAGATATTTCCCTACGTTCTACGAAAATAAAAGGAGAATTTGCCGAATTTTCTTTCATTTTCGAGATGGAATTAAAATCGATTCGGGTCGCGTCGCGATAATTCTTTCGATTTTACAATAATCTAGCGATACTAATAAGCGAAGGGAAATTTCCCTACTTCATGTATTATCGGCCATCCGTAAAAAAAAAAGGATAAGGACATTTTTGAAAAGGTTAGATATTTTTGATAATTTATAAACAAATAAAGTTCGTAAGTTATTAATAAAATAACGGTTAGAAAATTATAAGAGAAACGAAATTCACAAATTTTTGTAGGGACCACGTGACCTCAAATCTAAGCGACTTCTCTCGCCATCTGGTGACGATTTCATATTTAAAAATTTTAACCCGTATATAATAATAAATATATTAATTAATCATTATACAAGTTGATGAGCGTACAATAGCTAATAAATTGTTCTTATGTTTCAATTATCTAATTTTCACTTATTTCTGTTAACAAAAGTGGAAACAATTCGTGAAGTTTTGTTCCATATTTTAGATTAATATTGCGATTATACTTATAATTTAAGATTGATTTATTGATTTATTTGAGACAATTTTCGAAAGAAGGATATTTTTTTAAAATAAAGATTGCATTTTACGAGTTTTAAGCGCAACGAGTCGTAACCAGAAAATGGCGTCCGACAAAGTGTCGTTATTTTTATATCTTGGACTTATGTCGCACTGGAGGGCCAACTTTTTCCACGCTTCTGCATGGACTTTCTGCTTTTCGGCGGTTTTACTTACCAGAACGCATTCTCAGTACGGTTTATAGAACCGTATAGAGAATGCGATCCTGGTATATGACACTTCAAAACCATGGTTTATCGATTAAACCATGGTTTATCGATTAAACCATGGTTTATCGATTAAACCATGGTTCTAAAGTGTCATATCCCAAGATCCTGAATAAATTAATCTTTTTTTGCGCCCTGTGGACATTAAGAAGTCTTTTTAATCGAGCCTAACGTGGGTTCGGCTAGGATCACAATGAATGTAGATTGACAAGTTAACCGCTTCCATCCGGAGTGAAGAAATTTTTTTATAAATTTGCTGGAGATATTNGACGGCGGGTAAGTAGTTCGGCTGCCCGATGACGTTTTACGTATTATAGAAGTTATTTTTACCGTTGTTTACGGATAATGCCACAATTTTTATAGGAATCATAACTATAGGAAACGGTTTTATAGGGGGATCTACTGTACTGCCACAATTTTTATAGGAATCATAACTATAGGAAACGGTTTTATAGGGGGATCTACTGTATATGGTTAATTCTGTTATACCTGAAGATGTCTGTTATAAACAAATGAAAACATTAGTAAAATAATGTTAATTTCAATGGATCATTCTCAGGATACAATTCTGAAGTTAGAACTGCCATCTGAGAATAATCCATTAATAAATTGGAATTGTTTCTCTTAAATTTAAAGTTTTTTAATTGATATGTGAACTGTAGATTTTATAAAACTATTTTAATATATTTAAAGATTTATAATTTTGTTTAGAATTTGGAATAAAATGAAAGCTTTCATGAAATTCTTGGTAAAATTTAAATACGATGGTACCTCATACTTCAAACAACTAATTTTGAATGCTTCAGAGTTCAAATGCAAAATTTTACAAAAATTTGCCTCAGAGTTCAAACAATGTTTTGAAGTTCATAATGTACTGTACTTGAAGTATAAATAAAATCTGCTGTGTGTCCCCAACTAGTCTCTTGCTCTCACACTATGCTTGTATGTTGAGCATATCTCAGGTTTCATTCCACAAACTGTGAGACGAGCTCAAAGACAGGCTCACAGATGAGTACAATGCTTCTTTTCACTTGATTTTTGGTGTTTGGTTATATATACTGTATTGTGTGTTATTCAACAATTTTTAACAATTTCTTCCTAAAATTTTTCTTTGTAAACAGCTTTTGGAGATCCTGTACATTTTGTTTTTAAAGTTCAAAATTTTCTGAACAACATTTTAAACTACCTTTGACATGTTCAAAGTTTAGGAGCATCTTCCTTGTACACATTGCAATTCTTTTTAATGTTTGTATGGCATTATATCCTTTTCAAAAGTCATAAAACATAATATGACCAATATGCTTTCCTCCAAAGACATTACAACTTGATTTTATTCAAACAAACTGAAGTAGAAAGTTTAAAGTAAGATTCTAAACAAGGGATAAAATCTCACTTATTTATAATATGTTAAATTTCACAACTGTTATAATTAAGTTATACACATTTATGTTAAGATGCCAGAGTCCGTAGTGTGAAACCAATAAATGCAGTTTTCATTTTATTATACAGTATTTATGTATTTTATTCATTGTTTTGTGTTTCAATTTATTATTAAGACATTTAACTGTGTTATTAGCATGCTCCACTATAGTAGTGAAGTGCTTATATTAGGATTTTTGTCCGTCTGTCAGATATCCACATGTATGTAAATTTTAAAGATGAAAAAACTGTTTCAAATTATCTGTTACTGGAAAATAATTTAAGGCTTTAAAGTGAAAAATTTAATCATCATCAAGCTTATCTTAATGAATATATTTGAGTACATCTGTGTTTTTTCAAATTAAACTTTTTGCATTATTAGTATCTTTATCAAAAGTTAATTATAAGAATTGTTTTGCAATAACTACTACTAATGTAGTAAATAAATATACTTTTGATAAATTACATCATTAAATGCATTTTAAGTGACCATTACAAATTTTCTTAACAATATGCTTTTTATGGAGTTGAAAAGTTGAAATTTATTTGCAACAACATTAAACTGAGATCAATCACATTTATTCATTTGTTTAGTAACTATAATCTTTAAATTACACTAATTATGCAACCAGACATTTTAGCGACTCTAGTTTCAGGTACATTTTTCAATGAATGAATAATTTTTTTTTGTATTTTCAGTTAAAAGTTTTATGTATTAAATAATAACAAATGTCAGCTTATTATCTGTAATACATTACAAATACAAAACATTAAAGACAATGTTATAAGATGCTTCTTTTATTATTTTCGAATTCAAAAAAAAAGGCGTTATACCCATCAATCAAACTGCCTCCATGCTTTTGTGCTCTGAGGGATTTTCTATTCGCTAATGTTATTAACGCTACCAGATGCTTCTTTTATTTTTTCATTTTTGTTTTATATTATGCAAAAATTTATTTGTTCAGCTACGATCAAAATTATAAAACCAATTTTTATAATAAATCATACAGAACAAACTGTATAAAGATGTAAAACTAATCATCAACATCCTTTACACTTAATCCAGCAATAAAATTTTATAAGTAAAACTTGAAGTCACTTAATAACTCATCTTCAAGTTCAAATACATTACGGAATAAACCTCTTATGGCTGTTTTATCAGATGTAAAAGTGTTAACTTGTAATTAACCAAAATTTCTTAAGAATCTAACAAGTTAAGGACAAAAATTAGCTAATTTCACTGAGATCCTGGAGGTATACAAAGCCAAAAAAAAAGGAAGTGCATCAATACAAGAGATCTATTTCCACTCTCATTAAAATAGTTTGGCATACACTATTCATAGTATTATTATATTTTTGTCCTTATATCCATTGTTTTATATTTATTTTTATTTATTTTTAAATTATTATGAGTTTTAACTAAGAATAATTGTTTAATTACAAATTAATGCTTATTTTTAAATCCAGTGGAGTGCCCACACTTGAAGTTTATTTCATAATGCGTATGAACCTGAAGACAAATTGTTAAGTGACTCAAAAATGTTTGTTAGTTATAAATTTTTATTGCTGAATAAAGTGGTTGATGTTCTTTTTTTCCACTTTACACATTATTTATTAATGTGGAAAGTCTTTAATAAAAGTTACCACATCAATGATTAAAGAGCTATTGGATAATGATTTATTGACTTCTCTTTATTTACCTTTAACTTATTTGAATAGATTTTTATTTATTAAATGTCTGCCTTTTAATATGTAGTTTTTTTTTTATAAATTGTATTAATTAAGCAATGTTAATTCATTACATTTGTGAAGCATGTTTTTGACACTATATACTCTCTATTATTCACAGCTTTTTTTATATGTATTACAGCAGAATGGGTATTAATGAATTTAATTTTTAATCCATTAAATAATCTTTTGTTCATCAAACCTACATAAAGTTTATGAACTTGTACATTTGTTTTTTTAATATTTAATTTCGTGAGTGGCACGCCCTTTTCTATTCATTATAGATACTAGATCTTTATCGCTAGCTGGTCTTGTCACTAATCTAGTCAAGGTTAACTTATATTTAAACAATAGAAATTTTTCCAT